AATGTCCAGTGGATAGACACAAAGTATCCCATTTTTACCATTCCAGCTGAAGTTTGGTACATTTTAGTATCTTTAATGGCACAAGGAGAAATCAAACTAAATCTATTAAAAATTTTACTTAACCAGCTTAAACCAGGAAAGGTGCCAGGTAATGATTACTTAACAGCAGAAATTATCCGTAATAACTTAGAATGGTGGATTCTAGGACTAGCCTCCTTTTTCTTGATTGGACTACAGTGGTTCCAAAAGATTGGGGGCACAGCTACAATAATCCCTATTTATAAAAAGGGGAAAAGAGACCTATCACCTAATTATTGGCCAATCAGTTTATTAAGTATCATCAGGAAACTGCAGCAAACATGTAAACACAGAATTGTTGGTTTGGTTGGAAACAGAGTAAATCCTCAACACAGACTGGCTTTAGAGCTGATCACTTCCCCCTATATCATGCTTTCATCCCACAACATCTGGCAGAGAAGTGTACAGCTCAAGCAGGATCTGCTTATATGCTGCTTTTATTGACTTTAGGTCCACCTTTGATTGATTATCGAGAGTCAGGCTGTGGGACAAACTGGCTAACTGTAGGATAGATAGGCACCTATTATTCCTGATATACTGAAAATTCTATGTTAAAAATTAATTTTACTCCACAAGGGCATTTAACTAAAACAATTACTTCAATAAGGGGAGTGAGACAGGAATGCATACTGGCACCATTATTATTCAACTTTTATATAAATTATCTGGTTGACCATCAGAACAGCCCTGACTTTTCCCTCCAAAGCTAGCTTACAAGCATATACCCATGCTTTTGTACGCTGATGATGCCATTCTTTTGTCCCAGACCTCAACTGGACTAAAATGCACTTTGAGATCCCGTTTATTGCAAGGATGGAGAATTAGTAATAAATTATGAAAAAACAAAAATCAGTATTGGCTAAATGTTCCAGAATTCACAGGTGGCTGTTAAATGGACACACAAACCAAGACTTTCAAATATCTTGGAATCGTTTTTCCGTCCTTTGGTGAGAGAAGTGCTCACTCAGACTACGTAGTCCAGAATGCCCCCAAATCATAACTTTCTATTGATCAAGGGGTTTCTTATTCATTCCTGCTGCTTTAAAGTTATTCTGTGCCAAAGCGTGCTCTCAGCTCCTGTGGCTCAGCTAGGGCCCCATGGTAACTACTCAGGAACTACCATCTAAATTTCTACAAAGCATCTTTCAAGTTCCACCCTGTGTCTCAAACATAGTCCTCTGTTGTCAGGCCAGAGTAATTAAGATTAAAACAAAGATTTGGTTAATTTTCTTTATCCACTGGTTAAAGTTAAAATTTCTGCCTATTAGCTTGACATCTCTGACAGTAGCAGATAATTTCAGTACTAGATGGAAGAAATACCTACTTGAGAAGTTACACTTCTGTGGATTCTCCAAAGCAGCTCTCCTATTCCTAGGGCCTGAACAGGTCAAAAAGGTACTTATACAGTGTGTGCTGGACATAGAAAAACAACTAGATCAATCTCAACTACTCAAAAATGTTTTCTTAAGTAGTTGATCTTCCTCACTCAGACCTGCAGTTATTAAATTCTGTCACAGTTTCCAAGCTAAGAAAAGCTTTAATATTAGCTCAGTTTAATGCTCTGCCATCCATTATTCTAGAAAGCACATACTGTATAAAAAAATACCCCATACTAACCAGTTGTGTCCTTGTGGCACAGGTGCTGTGGAATCTACTGCTCATGTTTTATTGCGCTGCAGCTACTACTAGGAATTCAGAGCTCATTTCATTTACCTCATGTAGCAAAATACCCCAGGCATATGGATTCTTTTTACATGCAGGCCCTCCTCTCAGACCAGTCAGACTGTACTTCCTTGGATGTTGCTCAGCTGTGCCATACAGCTATTAAAATTAGGCGAGAGCTGATGAGTATAATCCTTTCCAGACTTTTGCCATTTACTTTGCCTTGGTTACAGGCAAAGTTTTAGTTTTAAACAACACCACAATTTTACTTTCAGCTTTTAGGTTAATCTTAGCTGAGTTTCTAGGTCCCCTTTGTTTCACAATAGTATGTAATATCCATATAATATATATATTTGTGCCTGCAAGTCAGTGTTGACTCCTGGTGGCTGTCTGGACAAGTCCCTGCAAATTTCTTAGTGAGGTTTTTCAGAAATGGTTTGCCATTGCCTGCTTCCTAGGGCTGAGAAAGAGTGGCTGGCCCAAAGTCACCCAGTTGGCTTTGTGCCTCAGGCAGGAGTAGAACTCACAGTCTCCCGGTTTCTAGCCTGGTGCCTTAATCACTACACCAAATTGGCTCTATGTTATACCCATACATAGAAAGTAATCAAAATTGATGCTTTCTGTATGGTGCCATTGTTAGATTGTTTCTGTCTCTGTTTTGCTTTGTTTCTGTTCTTGTTTTTATGCTGAACTAAAGAATTGATTGATTGACCTAATAGCCTGAGCTCTAACTTGACATTTCATATTTAACTGCTTAATCAGAAGATTCTGAGGAAGCAGCTAAAAATCTCAAGAGCGCATAACAAAATCCTAGAGATGGAGACCCTATTTTCCACAGAACCTATCTTTCAAAATTTAATTCCATCACTTCTTTTTGCAATATCAGTGTAATTCTACTAAGATTCTGACAGAGGAATGAATGCCAGCTGAGGAATAATATTATTTCTATTAACCTTTCTTCCAGAATGCTTAAGGCAACACACATAGGCATTGCTGCACAATTGATTTGATTTGATTCTCATGGCAACATGTTCCAGATACATCCAATGAACTACACTACGCTCATTCTCCATAAGTTCAAAGTTAGAATAAAAGGGGCTAGAATCTTATGAGAAAGAGGGGTATGATAAAGTAGGAGGAAATTTTCAGCAAGATGAGTTAAACTGTTCTGCCTTTGTATTAGGTTCTGATAGTAATTCAGATTTGCCATCTGGATTCATTGTTATTTCAAGAACATTAAAGAGACCAGAGAACTGTTCATATATCTCCATTTGAATAACCAGGAGCTGAACTTCGGGCACCTGGTAATCCTAAATGCTTACTTACATAGAGGAAATGCCCTGATGTTTATTATTATGTCATGCCTTTTATTATGTGTAGATTTTATTCTGAATCCCAGCAAGTAACATGAATTTCTTACGTTTGTTATAACATTATTTTACATGTTGGTCAAAGACCATCATAAAGATTTATCTCCCTACATGTAACATTATTTGTATACAGAAGAATACTTGATTTCGTTTAAGAATCAAGGTTAGAAAGTTGAAATGGCTTATTTTTCTTCTATGTACCTGCATAAATGCCAGTGCTATTTTCTCTCTCTCTCTCTCTCTCTCTCTCTCTCTCTTTTTAAATTTTGAAGGAACTTTCCACAGAAATGTGCATACCTAAAATATATTTTATTAGTGCTGACACAGAGGAGGCATTCTGGTTCTTACTCTTTCTCACTCTCTTTAGAGCTACTGTCTTATTTTCATTTGCCTCTTGAATTCACATCAAAATGTAGCACTAGAAAGATTAAATGTGTGGGACTGTCAAGCATTATTGGCAGTTTTTACCACTAGGGACCTTCCTCTGCTACAGCAGAAGCTAACCAAACATATGTTTAAAGACTCTATTGTGGCACATTTGAATTACTGTTTGCTCTGGATAATTTAAGTAGTCAAAAGTAGAGAAAAGTGTCTTAGTGGGGGATGTGTAACTAATGTTATTAGGGCGAGGAGAACTTAAATCAGTAGCTTAGATTAATGCTTTTCTTGAGAGTTGTGAAGATGTAAAGTAAGAGCTATATGCTGTAATGCCTTTCATCAGCTGAAATTGAACTCATTGACTGAAATCTTTTAGAAATCTGAATCCTTCTCTGAAATTCCCCAGGAGTTGAATTCTTTTAAAACTTTTTTTTTTTTAAAAGAATAACAGAGTTAAGGGGAGCCCACTGAAGTTCTGTCTTGTATTTCTAATGACTTACTAATAAAGACAAAACCTGTATAATTTTTTGAGCATTACCTGGGAATCTAAGGTTACATTGAACAAGTTGGCATTCATTTTTAATCTAAGAGTGCAATGTTTATAGTGCAGTGTTTAAAGTTTATTACACTTTTTTAAAAAGTGCTGAATATCTAAATATGTGGTAGCTTTAAAGCTCTAGATTTTCGGTGCAGTTTTGAATTTCTTTCCTCTACAGTTGTCTTATTCAACGATAAGAGAGGGAACATTTTGATGTCCTTCATCTATTTTCATTTGCAGTAGCAGAGATTGGAAGCAAATGAGGTGCAGACACACAACAGACTTCTTGTGGCTTTGATCTTATTACAAAACAAAAGTTGCTGGATTGATTATGGAGTGGTCCCTCCTTTCTGATCCTTCCATACCACCTGAGCAAACAGCTGTTGTACACACTGTTGTACCAGTGCTTGCAAAGCATTTTGGATTGATGCATCTATGGCTCATACGGAATCCAGTCTGAATCAACTCTCTGGGAATATTCTTGCAAAACATAAACAGACACTTTCATCTACACAAATGTACACACTACTCCAGTACAGTTGAAAGATGGCACCTTTATTTTTTCTATTAAAGTCTGCTTCACTTTGCCATTTTTCCTAAACAGTAGGATTATGATGAATAAAACAAAAGAAATAGGGAGAAAGAAATTAATTTGCAAATAATCAGAAGCAACAGCAAAATCCAGAAAAAAGTGCTAGTTATTGCCCTATATGAGTTGAAAATGTACTCTCTGAATTTGCTTAAAAATGATACAAATGGCTCTTTTCTCTAAGATGTGTACAAATGTTTTCATAAGACACTTGATAAATAACTTGGTTTAACATGCCAAAAGCTAAATAATAATGTGTTCCTTACACATGTGCCAAAATAAAAGTGGGCAGTGTTTTTTTGTTAGACTTAGGCGCTAACAGGTTCTGATAAGAGAGTTAAGAGTTGTTAACTAAATGAAAGCTTCTATTGTTGTACCTTTACAGAAACTACACAGATAGAAGATCCAAGAAAGCAATGGCGGCAAGAGCAAGAAAAAATGTTAAAAGATTATCTTACTGTAGCTCAAGATGCACTTAGCACTAAGAAAGAACTGTTCCATGTGAAAGAGCAAAGGCTGGCCCTTGCCCTGGGTGAATATGTACGGCTGAATGACGTTTACAAAGAAAAATCAAGCTCTTATACAAGTTGTACGTATCTGAGACATATGTATAATAATGTAATATAATAGCCCTGTCTTTTCATGTTTCTTACTCACATTTCTCAATTCAAAAGATCTGGATGATCTGCAAGAAAGAGTTGTGGCCAACCCTAATTAAATTAAGATCTATCCCAGTCCTGGGAGCTGCAGCAACTGATTCTGGAAGGGTAAATCAGAAACTTCTCATTTACTAGCCAGATTTAATGTTCAGTTTTACAGAGAATATGAACATTTCTCTGTCTCTATTAAACACATAGAAACATATATTTCATCATATAGGTTAGGATGGAAGCATCTTATATCGGAGATCAGATAGTGGGGCAGAAGTAATGCTGGTAGAAAATAGTTGGTCTTGACCAGCTGTCAGTCTGGAACAGGAAAACAGATCTCCAAGAATCAGTCCTGAGATTTCAAACTATCTTAATGGCAAAGTTTACAATTTTATTAACTTTTGACTGGAGAAGCAGACATCCAGTGTAGGCCAGATCAGGGTAATGGTGAATTAAGGGGAGACATTATATACAAAGGTTTGCTAAGGAAGTCTCCTTGAAGTCTTATGCCATAATCACTATCACTGGACTCTGCTGGTTTTGTATATTGAATTAGTGGACATTGCAGGGCATGGATAGAGTGCCTCCCTCCTACAGGCCAAATCTGATTCTCAGGTATACTGCGCTGGCTGTGGGGGTTAAATGAGGCTTTTCTCTCTCCCAATTCCTATCAGTGAGAATCCATGTTTAAAGTGCCCCATCTTTAAGGGCAAATATGTCTTAGCTACCCTGGGTCTTCTTAGAAGGAGAAAAGTGCCATGCAATCAAATTTGCTATAGCCATTAATTCAGATACCTCAGCTGGAACACTTGTAAGCATGGTGGGAAGATGCCAGGTGGCAGAGACTGGCAGAGTTGTAGATGTAGGCATTTCATCTGGTTTACCCAGAAGATCTTCAGCTGTTTTGCACATTTCCCCAGGACAAATACCAGCTCCGCACAGACAAAGTGGGAACCCAGCACTTCCAACTTTACCTTGCATGTTATCCCACTTCATTTGACAAGGAGCACTACTACAGAGGGAGATTATAACATGTCTTCATCTCCTCCTCCTTGGAAAAATGAATGGGATCAGGAGGATGGATTTTGGCTCTTTGTGTCTAAGTTCAGTCAAGTTCATGAATATAGTAAAAGTTTAGAATTACATGTAAATTAGTCCTGATTTTTAGGAATAGCATAATTCTAAAAAAATGTCCATTCCTATCCTGTACCTTGTAGAAGTAATTATTTGTTCTGATATGCTGAATTATTCTGTGAATATTTTCCCATGAACAAGCAGGATTTTATGGGATGAGAACATATTTCTACAGACAGAAAATGAAGTTGGATGAATTGGCAGCAATAATCTAGAAGAAAAGCGATTTGTAAGGAAGTGGTGGTAGGGTAAACAACGAACAATATATGAGTGGGTCTTAAAGCAGCGTTACTAGCTACATTTCCATTTTATGCAGCTTCTGTTTAAGTTTCTCCAGCACAGTGAGAGTGTATTGTTCTTGCCAGTGTTAAATTTGGACAGAAACACCCAAGTCCAAGGCTACCTTCAATAGTAGAACTCACTGAATTATTCTGAGCCTATCAGTTTCTCTCAGCTCATCCTACTTCACAGGGTTGCTTTATGCAGATGAAATTAGGTGGAAATTTTCACATACACCACTTACAGCTCTTAGAGAAAAGGAGTATATAAATGCAGCAAATAAATAATGCTATCCAAATGATAAAAGTGAAAATATTTTGAATAATTGCTCTTTACATTCTGTAGTTTTCACTGTAATACAGTAACCAATGTTTTATTTTGTCTTTTACAATTGTGTTGAACTGGCTGCTTTGAATAGATCATATTTTAGGGAACTGAAACATAAAATGATCTCCCAACTGGTTAAATGTCTTTTTTCCCTTATTCTTCTGATAAGTATTCTCAAGCTCCTCTTCCAGCACAAAGTATGATCCTGATATTCTGAAAGCAGAAATCTCCACTACAAGATTAAGGGTAAGGCTGCTTTGAAATCTCCCAATAGCTAAACTAAATTGTTTCCTAACAGTATACATATACAAGCCTATTTTTTGGTGGTAGCATTTGTAGTGCTAATAATTTTAAAAGTAATATTTGGTTTAGGGCTTGTTCATTATCAACGTATGGAGGTAAGTATTATACAAAAGATTTTGATATCTGCAAAATGCTTTGAAATGCACATTGTTGCATGTGCACTTTGGATCCCCAGGTGGAAATTTTTGGTTTCTAAGTATAGCATAGATTCTGTTATCCTGCAACCTCCCTTCCTCTCGGCACACATTGATGCCCTTCGAGAGTCCTCCCCTGCTTTCATTTGTGCTGTTTCCTTTTCTCTTAAGCTCTGTCAGTAAGTCCTTGTTGGAATAAGTACAGCTTGCATAGAGACACAGACATCGACAAGTTAACTTAGCAAGTGAATATGAATTTCATGTTAAATGATGTTATCCAAACAAAGATATGTCTTTTAATCTGGCATCTCTCTCAAATCAGATGCTTCTCATGAACATTAGAAGGACAGTAGAATTTCTTTGTGTTCAGCAAATGCTAACAATGGCTTATTTACATAAGATAGTGATGCTGACTTTATTGAAACACAGGTTCTGCTAGCGCACATAGCCGAACAGTGGCACACATATTTGAGGTATTGTTTTCAGACTAATTAATTATTTATGAATAGTTACTTTTCACAATATTAGTAAGCATTAGCATATCCACAAGTGGCAGTAGTTAATTTCTTCTGTAGAAACGAATTGTGAACACTAATAGGGTGAATCTAGAGACAGAGTTCATGCCCAGTCTGTATATGTCTCTTGGAGAAAGCACTGACCGGCAAAAGCATTCCTTTTGATCTGCCCCTCATGTTTATTAGAACTTAATTTGAACACTAGTTGTTATACTGTATATAGAGCTGTCTGATTTGGAACTTCTGATTATTAGAACCTTTGGTAAATGAATTTGAATGTGATTGGAAATAGAAGGAAAGTGTACCCAGTTTTGTTATATGTAATTGGGTTTTAAAAATGGGAACATTACCACTAAGAAATGCATGTTATGACTTTAACCCTCCTTAACAACAAAAAAGTGTTGGACTAGTGGTTGACTGAATATTTAAATCTTTGAGATACCTAGTGTTTTAAGATACAATATGTTTGGTAGAATGACTAAACCATAAATATGCATATATATGAGGCAGGATACAAAATGGTTCCCGCACAATCCTAGTACATACATCCAATCACCTGATATGGCTAGATGTGTTGCTGTTCTGCTTAGACCTCTTATCTATCTAAGTAATTTATGAGGCCTCCCTCTTTCTCAGAGACAGAGGGGGAGAAAGAGAGAGAGAGAGACATGGACATATATATTAAGCCCTATTAACCCTTTCCCATTAATGAAGACCTATTTATACATTCACAACAGAGTGTGTAGGTTCAAAGTAGGTAGCAGGATGAAGCCACTCATGATGACCTTAACTCTTATTTCCCCTCGTGCATCTTCCCTGCCCCTTTCCTAAATTTGCTATATTGGATGACAAGTTCAGAATGGGAGTTGTGTATTCACTTGGAACTGAAAATAACTCTTCTTGTAGTCATGCCCCATTCTCAAGATTGTCTTTCTCCATGAGGAAACACAAAGTAATTGCTTTTTTCTATGTAAAGGGATTTCCTCCTTTTTCCATGTAGAGAGAAGGCAGGATTGCTCTCAGTCTTCTCCTATACAAGAAAAATACTACAGAGAGAAGAACAGTCTTGAAGGCTTGGCTAACGAGCAGGGTCTGTCTGTCTGTCTGTCTGTCTGTCTGCCTGCCTGCCTGCCTGCCTGCCTGCCTGCC